TGGAGAAAACTGCCTGTGTTACTGACAGAGGAAGCAAATATGTCACATTTTAATTTGTGCTTCAGTCTTAAAAAGTAAAAATCATAACATACCGTGACAAGATTGGTACAGGTTACCTGAACCAGATTGTACAGTTTCTATGAAGGATAGAAATGAAAAAGCCTGAACTGAATTTTGTATTAGTATCTTAGAGGGAAAAAATGATTTTAAGCTGACCCTGTCAAATAGCAGAAAATCCTGTGAGCTTGCTGGGTTCAAGATTTATTTGGAATCATTTTCCAAACCCTGGGATTAGAATTTGAGGACCCCCCAAATGAAAATCTCCTACAATACCAGCTGAGCTTGCACACACCAGTGCGACTGCATGTGAAACTGTACACTCAGTCCTGCTGTAACCTGTCAATGTCTGCACAGTAGGATGTATGCATTAACAGGTTGAACACAGCAAAAAAAAACAAAAAAACAGATGTAGTGTCTTTGCACTTCTGCAGGTGCTCTTTTCTTTCAAACATTCAGGGAGAGGTGACAGTAAAGCCTGACAGTGTAGAGATATTGACTCCATCTAATATGATGTCATAATAATTAAACAGTGGCTAAATCCTCCCTTGACCACACTCTATTCAAAGGGCCTTCTCTGAGAGATAGCCATGAGATCCAAAGATCTTAATGACACTGTACATTAGAGCAGGTGTCAGTGTTGAGGAGGACAGAGCTGCCTGCATTGTGATTAATGAAGCAGCTCCAAACTCCTCTCCGGGAATCTATTGATTCACTTCTGTGGCTGTCCTCGCGCTGAATTAATCTGCCTGCAAATATGCAAGACTTATGCATTCTGCTCCACTCGGACCTGCAATTTGAGGGAGACATGAATCCACTGGCTGACACTCACGACCCAGGAGGGGAGTCTATCAATGCACTGGACTGAGATGAAGTCTGAGGAGAGTGACACAAGTGCAGTCAAAGTTCTTTGCCCAGAGGAATGTAGGATTTATAATCGGAAGGAAATATGTTTGGGAAAAGTGATCATAAAAATATACACATTGGTTTTCTTAAACTGAAAACGTCAAATGTGATGGAGGCTGTTAGACTGGATTGTAAAACTGTCATGTGGCCAAACAGTTAGGGTGGAAATGTCTGCATAATTGATGCACAATGCATCAGTGCAGCGCTGTTAATGGGAATAAACAGTTCATAAGAGCCAGAGTTTTCAGGCTCTGGAAAGCTGTAAAGTTGAGAGTGTGTGTATGTCATGCTTTGACACATCACTTTGTCTGGACAACTTAGGTTCACAAGGACAAGGGAAAACTAACACAACGTGATTCAGTGGTGTTGATACTGGAGCTCGGATACACACCACCGCCTTCTACCCCACCACCTCTCTCTCTCTCTCTCTCTCTCTCTCTCTCTCTCTCTCTCTCTCTCTCTATCTCTCTGCCTGCATACTTTCTGTTTTCACGTGCTGCTACAGGACGAATTATGGCCTTTCGGACTGAGCCACAAAACAGATTACTGTCACAAAACTCATACTTGCCAACCACAAGAAAATACCCTGTCATGAAATGACAAAGAGTGACTCTGTCACTGAGCTGTACAGTTTTAATGGCATGTCAGTTTTTGATATGATTACTACTTTGATCCACCACAGAGAAAATATATTAATTCAGTAAAATTTTATTTGGAGGAAAACGACTCCTGAGCGTTTTCTGTCCATCCATCCAATTCATATTCTGCTTCTTACTATCAACTTTTTCTAATTAACACTGAATTAACACTAAACAACACTACATTGCCATGTCAAATTGTTTTCGGTGGGTTCTAAACCTGTAATTCAATTTCAATCAACATATACTGTAGTTATGGATTATGTTGAATCAATAATCATCTTTAGTTGGTTGAACTTAAAGGTCCTATATTTCACACTTTCTGAGTGTTTTATTGTAGTTGTGATATCCATTGGAAGATGTATTTGTGGTTTTACCTACCAAAAATCATGTTTCATGTCTAGTAGTTAGTAATGTAGTTTTACATCTGCTTTCTCAGGTCTCTCTCAGGAGCTGTAGCAACAACAGGTCGTTTTGTGTCTGATTGTGCAGCATTTCCTCCACATTTTTCTGTCTTGTAGCTTTTAGCTCAGTGACAGAAAGGCTGTTTGGCTCTGTGTTGTTAATAAAGTTAAAACAACAACAACAATAAAAAAATAAAATAAAACGATGAGCCATGCAGGTGACAGAGTTGAGGGTGGTGGCTGTCTCATTGTGACATCACAAAGTTACAGAAGTCCTGACGGCTAGTTTTAAGGCTCCGTTTCTGAATACAGGCTGTGTGCATTTCTCTGTGGACTGAGAGCTTTATAATCAAAAAAAGACATGGAAATCTCACTTCATACAATATGGGACCTTTTAATATGGGACAACTGAAACTGAAAGCCAAATAAACTAGTAGACATAAAGCTAACATAACAATGATTAAATACATTCCCATGTCATTGTGCAGCCTGGTAAAGTAACAGAGATATAACTGAGAACTGAGAGTCCGAAAATATTTTTAAAAGGATGAGGGGAGATGAGAAGAAATGGGGGTATCACTTCTGTTCTGAAAAAGCAGGGCACTCAGAAGCTTCTCTAGGCCAACAGCTTGCAGAAAAAAAGCTGTGGAGATGGCAGGTGGTTCCGGCTTTAATGGACTGTTTCCCTGAAATAATTTGTGGGACAGGTGGTTGCCAACGTTGGCAGGGTCAGTGCTGATATTCCCTGCGCAATTCCCGGCTCTTGTGCCAGTCAAGTCTCTGATGGAGGGCAGCTGGCGCGTTGTGAACCTTTCAGTGATGCAGATAGTGAACTGCAGTTTTGTTTTTGGTTTTGTTTTGGGTTTTTTTTAACCAGCTTTTGGCTTTCGGCTCAGCATCTATAAAACTAGACCGAGCTTTGTTGAGCGTTCTTGGTTAAGGTGACGATGTTTTTGTCTGATCCGAGAGTTTTGGAGACGGTGCTGCCCGACAGTTTAAATGAGTCAGCCACTCACACATACCATTGATTTCCAGAGGGAGATGAGAGGGAAAGTTGGTGTGGAGGTTAATCTACAAATCAATTCTTTTGAGCATATATTTCTCACTGTGTTGTCAGCAAAACATGCTGAGCTAGTTCCTCTGTCCTGGGGTGTTTTGTTAAGTTAGTTGTTGTTGTTGTTTTTTTTTTTTTAAATTAATTGTCAGTCACCATGTACACAAACATCAAATGCATACAAAGAGAAGAGATGCTCTTCTGGCTACTAGTTCTTCAGTCCCTGAATAGGTAGTCTTTAAAAAAGTATTTTCAAAAAGATCAGGATAGATGAGACAAAAAGAATTGTTGTCATGTTTAAAATTGAGATGTTTGATTTAGGGGTTCTTGTAGATGAAACTTCATTGAACAGTGAATGCATCATTGCTAACATCAGAAGGAATATAACTAAATATAAAGCATAGACCTATTATGTAATCTTAGCCTCAAATTAAGTTACAAAATGTGACTAAAACAAACCCAGACATACATAGTTATAATAATATTGAATTATTTATAGTGCTTTTATTTCAGTGGGGAGTGGTACAGGGCCGTAACAAAAAGATGCTTGAAATAATATATTTAGCATCATATATATTCTTTCTGAGTTTGAGTTCACAGTGCAGTCTCCTCAGTATGATAAGGTAAAATATTCTGATCTCACTGCTTCATTATCCATCAATCAGTGGCCGCCAGTAACTCTGGAGAACAAGAACAACCAAAGAAAAGTCTCTGCACACTGGCAGTGTTTAGTGTAGGTCTCTATAGTGCCATCATTACTGTATGAACCACTTATAGTAACATCAACAGGCTACGTCATCACTTGCAGTAGCAGTGCTGCCAAAATAAGCCAATTAGGTTTATTGATTTGCTGTGAGCATCTTAAACAGAGCCGGAACCTGACAACAAGGGGATCCAGTTGAATTGCTATACTGTAAATAAAGAGGACGGCTGCAATGGGCATGCTGCCACAGTTTAAATGCAGGTTGTTATTGTATTACGCTCAGAAAAGTCCTGTTTTTACATCGACCATAAAAATAGAAAGTCATGAATCCCGATTCCACTTAAGGCAACAAAGACAACAGAATAAGGTTTTTGAGGGTGAAATCATCGCCTGCAGGTCTGGAAACAAATTTACAGACGCGTCATTGTCAACCACCACCATTGTTGAATAGAAAAACCAAGCACCCAAGACAAAAGGTGCAGTAATGTGTGTGGCGGTGCGTAAAGTGTCGTGCACATCCCCGGTGTAGATGGAGCGGCTACAGTGATTAGTACCGCCAGGTTTCTCTGGCAACCCTGTCTCCGCTCTGTCTCCATGGCAATGGATAGGCAGTTTACTTCCTTTTATTTTTTTTCTGAGAGGTAAAATGCCTGATTTTTACGCCATACGGTCATAAGCTCGGGCTACAGGAGCTTTTTTTTTTGTTGTTTTTAAAAAGGCTCCGTACATGATTGTACAGATGTGATGAGAATGTGCGGCTCAGTATGCGGGTAAGGCGCGAGCGAGAAACACAAAGGGACAATTCCAGAGGAAGCCAGTGACACGTCAGGAAATCACTGTCATCGCTCCAGTTATTGTTGTTTACTTTTCATGTTGTGTGCGCAGTCTGTGCCACTGTAGCCTACAGGTCTGCAACATAATGATCTGTCGCTTTGTCTGTCTATGTTTCTGACGGATCACCAAGTCAATGCAAGTGAAGCATGTGATCCGAAACCAACACACCGTGCAGCATATAGGCCTACAGTGTCCTACAGTAGCAGCTGCTTCGATCTCAAACAGCAATATCCACATGCACCGTGCTGGGAATGGCTCAGCATCCAGTGGCTGCTATTGTTTTCCTGTCTAACCTCAGGGTGATTTGAGCACCATGCAGGGAAATGAATGGGCGCATGGTCGCGTTAAAACCTTGTGGTTTAGGGGTAAAGCAGTCTGTATACAAGGCAAGGCTCGCCTCTTACCCTTGGAAGCATCCTTGTCTTCTTTAGGCTTCGCCACTTTTCCGCTCATAGATCCCAGTTTGGATGTGTAATTCCCGGTTTAGATAAGAATCGAAATCCTTTTAATTGCTGAATGTCCTCAATGAAATCCTTACCAGAGGTTCCAGGTGCTGAGATAAGGGTTCTGTGAAGAGAGAAGTGTTCGTCAAAATTACATTTTCCTTTTCATAACACAACAGCAGCGCTTGGTGTGAAAGCAAAACGAGACAATGGACTGTGGTGAGCTACTCAGGCTGCAAGGTGTTTATCAATTGGATATCAATGAAAACATCCAACTATTGATGCCCTGTATACACACACACACACACACACACACACACACACACACACACACGGCACACGACTGAGAGCCCATATGGCTCCAATAACCACCAAAGAATGAGCCGATGTGACTGTCTGTCTTTGCACAGCTTCCCCAGTGTTTTTTTTTTTAAAAAGCACGCTTTAACCTACCTTATCTCCTCCACGTTTTCTGCTACATCAATGCACATTGATGAAAGGAAACGCTCCCACCACGAATCCCGTTATGTTGCATACAAAAATCACGACCTGCTTTACTGTGACAAAGGAGAGGAGCAAAAAAAAAAAGCTGCGAAATGGAGCGCAGGGTTTTTTTTCCCCCCTCCGAGGTCTTCAATCAACGTTGAAATGGAAAAAAAATACAAATGGAAACACTGAGCCGTCCTATCTACAAGCAAACCCCGGGAGACATGCCATCCAGTGTAGCTTCTGCGTCCAGGTTCTCTTGTCTGAGGCTTTTTCCTGCTGACGAGCTCCTCAGCTCCTCTAAACGCTCGGCAGGCAGAATCAACAGGATACTCAACGTGAGAGCGCTCTCTCCCCCCTCTCTCTCTTCCAGCGCCGATTCACACCGTGGACATTTTTTTTTTTTTTGCACTTCAGTATCACTGGCGAGATGAAAACGAGCCGCTCCATCCATTTAAAAAACAAAAAAACAAAAAAAAAGAAAAACAGCCAGTGTTGTGAGCCGTGTTGTCGATGTGGTGAACAATTACAGCAGGAGGCTGTGCTGCATGGTGCACACCATCTTGCTGTTGCTCTCATTCACTTGCCTTTGCAGAGCCATGCGTTTCCCCATTCACATACAGCCTGCGCATTTTCTCCTTGCATGATCTGAGGCGTTTGCTTCGACTTTACATATAGAATGCAGGACATGCAGTTTGCAACAAATGGCTCCTTGGAGGACAAAAGGTATAAAATATGAATAGCAGGCTCATTCATGTTGGATATCAGGATATTTGTCAGACAGTTGAAACTTGCCTGAATTGCTTTAAAAACTAAATATTTCAGTAAAACAGACCATAAGCTCAATAGGTCCAGCATCCAACAATCATCCATTGCCCAGGAAGTTCATGGGGTGTTTATTGCATAGGATACATAAAACTACTACTGGTGTTACATAAAACAAGACAAAGCAATGCAACTAGTAGAATGACAACTTGGTTAAGTTTGGGCATTTTAATGCATCACTTCCCAAGTCTTTTAGCTTAACGCAAACTTGGTGTTGTCGGACAGCAGATAGGGTTTAAATTGTCCACCTTAACTGAGTTCACTTCATCGATCCTTATTCTCAATGTAAATCCATTTATTTTTCAAGATAGAGCAGAGGTATAGCTCAAGAATCTGCTTATGCTTGTTTAAAAAGTGCTGGCACTTGTTTAAGCCTTATTAAAGTGAATGAAACAGTAGAAACCCAACTGAATATATATATATATATATCTCAGGACTATATATTTATAACATTAAGCTGCCAAGATTCTCCTGCAACAATCAGTTTTATTGTTTTGTCATCAGCCCACTCTTTAAAGGGTCCAAATTAAAAAAATAAAAAACATATTTCATTTCTCTCTCCTTTTTTACTCACATACTGAATTGGATTTGTTTGCCTGAGTTCTCAGGTATCCATCTCCAGTAATACTGCTATGGCTCCAGTACAAAGGAGTAAGGGAATTAAATTTTCTTTACAACGTGTTGATGTCCAGAAATGTGCTTGATTTTAAAGTTTTAAAGTATGTGAGGTCCTTACCTTTAAAACATGTAAAGATGAAGCCTAAACGTTACACCTCATCCTTCATTTGGAGCTCGACCAGGTCCAAATGGTGAGTGAGCCACGCTGACAGTCAAAACCACAGTCCAAATCCAAATTGTTTTCTGGGTCCTTAATCCTCTTTTAAGGTCACTGGTGTTTTTTTTAATGAGTATAACTTTCATCAGCTTTCATTCAGAAGTCCTAGTCTGAACGTTGCAGGCTCTATGTCATACCTCTTGGCCTTGTGGGTCTGTGAGCACTCAGTGGCAGCAGAGGAAAAAGATCTGCGGGTTGGGGGTTACAAGATCTATATGGTTGCTATTTTTAGAAGAAACTGGAGCCCTTTCAAACTTTCTTCACATGCTCAGATCTTCCTGAGACGTTTAAGGCACACTGTGGCCTGTTTAGCCAGTTAGTTTCAATGAGCGGCTCTGCCTCAAAGGGTCAAATCATTGCCTTTTGAAAGCAGCCTTTACTCTGAGTTCAGTCACATTATTTCTTATTTTGTTATTAAGACAAATAGAACTCACATTAAGCTGAATCATTTTGTTAACCAGGCTTTCAAGTATCTGACATGTTAGACTGAGGAACTAAAACAAGCTGAAATGCAGTTGTCATCTACAGTATGTTTTTAATCTTTTTATTGTGTTGCATTGTGGCTGTATCTGTCATACTGGAAGCAGTAAGCTCCATTATTAACAATGCTGAGTAAATGCATAGAATTTATTTTAAGATAAATCTTGATTAAATTTAAACTTAATTTAAAACTGAATATTCTTAAAACACACACAGACTGGTTTAATACCTGTTAAAAGTTTGCAACTTTGCAAATGGTTTTCTACAGCATGTGTGTAAATGCTCGTTTTAATTTATATCCCTTGTTATGTATCTTTATTCTGTTTTCATTGCTTTGGATAACATAACAAACAATAGTCTTCAGTATTGCCTGTTACAGTTTAGAAGATTTCCTGTTGGATTTTCTGCTTGTCACAGTGGTTATTTCTATAATTCCTTTATGGAGACAGCTAAGTCATTTTCCATGTGCCTTTTTATGCCAGGGCTGGAGGCATTATGTTTTCTGGTTATCTGTACATCCATCCCATTCTCATGAACACAATATCTCAGTAACGCCTTGAGAGAATTTTGGAAAAAACATTAATTTAGACTCCTGGATTACTGATTATTATTTGGTGGGCAAAGGTAAAAGTCCAAGGTCACCCTGACCTCACAAAATATGTTTTTGGCCATAACTCACCAATTCATACGCTAATTACGACAAATTATTACAAATGTCTAATATAGTAGGATAAAATGATGAAGTGATGACATTTTATATCCAAATGGTCAAAGGTCAACTTCACTGTGACATCATAATATTCTGCAAAAACACTACAGGCCATTATTCAATGCTGTAACTCAGGACAGGGAGATTGTGGCCATATTTCCTGCAACTTGACTGGTTGGCAGAGGCATACAACCTCGAGGCGGTAATTCTAGTTATTTTTATCAAATCATAAATTAAAGCCCATCGGCTACTTTCAGTTCCCTCCGTTCAGAGTTCTTTGCTCATTTTTTGGAGAAAATGTATTGATATATTCCTTTTTCTTAAATCATGAGAGCTGACAGCTCATTAGCATTCACTGGCACTGAGCGTGTGCATGGTTATTATTTATGATAGTGGCTATCTTAGCACCAGAGCGGAATTGAGAAGACTGTGAATCAATAGCAGCTGACCACTCAGTAGCTGAGAGAGGTCAAGGAGGTTACGCTGGGGGGAGGGGGATGTAGTGGTTGATGACAGGATGTTTTCATAAGAGATGCGATCACTCGTTTAGCCTATCAAGACTAGCATTCTCACACATACACAAACACACACAACACTTGGAAAACCTAAGCAATACATGCATTAAAGGAGCAAGGAGCCTCATTTCAAGGAAATTGTATTTAAATTCATTTATATGAGAATGAATCTCTTCATCATTAAGGATCAAAACTTGTTGAGTGGTCTCAGCTGGGCATTTTTATAGTATGGTAAGTGAAACCTTGAGAAAAACAAAAAACGTGCACTAATGGAATGGATGGTGTTGTGGTTGGATCAGGATATAGTTTAAATTACACATACATGCCTGAAAATGTAATTTAAGTTTTTAAGTAGCAGGGTAGCTAGGCAACTGAGATGTTAGTGGAGTAATAATAAAGAACCCAAAAAGGTGCTTCTTAGTTATAAATGGAAATGAGGTAAACCGCTTACTGCACACATCCATGTATGTTGGGAAAGCGGTGTAAAGAGCGAGGGTTAGAGAGAGTGTAAATGTCAGTGGGTTGTGTTCCCACTGTGTCCATGGCCTGTGGCCCCCTTTGACCTTTCCAACAGGGCATCACACTAGAGTGCTACATTCACCTCCGGCCTGTTTAAAGCCTGCAGCCTGGTTGATACAGCACAAACTCCTGACTCACACTCTCATCTGATGTCACATCACAGGCTGTGTCCACCAATGCCACAGAGTAACCCCTCAGACTCTTCTGCTTGTCTGCTGATTGCAGGATTTCTGCTGGAAAATACACCAGCACCTTAAAGATCACGCTACCTCACACATGTGAAGCCAGCTCAGCAAACTGATCTGTTTTAGCTCATGTTTGTCATGTATAACCATTTCCCGTGGTAAATGTCAGGCTAATACATAAACCTAACAAGCTCTGCTGTTGTAGCTGTGCGAGGTGTAAACCATGAACTGATGAGTACCTCTCAATTAGAACTGATTAACATATTGTGATATTTTCAAGTGTACTGTGCTTGGTAGTATGATGTTTTATTAATGTTTCATGAAATATTTATTGAAATGTTCTTTTGAGAGGCAAGTTAGGTAATGATTTTATGATACCCATTCTGATCCACTTGTTCAAGTAAATTAAAGTTAATCATTCTCTAACTGCACAAATGCATTTGAGCATAAACCGTCTTACACGGAAATGTATTCTAAAAGACACACTTCAGTTATTATTGTTGCATGAATGAACAACCTCATAACTGCAAATTTCCCCCTAACTTACTTTTGAAAATCAACTGAAACGCTGAAAAGTGTGTAAGATTTTCTTAGCAACTAAAAGGAAAACTGTGAAGAGCTCAGCATTCACAAAACGAGATTTCCTGCTCCACACGGCTGCAGTATACTGCAGTACGCCACTGGAGATTGTTCAGTGTTCAAAGTTTGGGAGGATTGTAGTTACATTTGTGCTATTAGGTGGTTAATTATTATTTCCATGAGTTTTATTTGGGCTAATAAGATGATGATGATGGTGACTTGGTGTTCCAGGGAACAACAAATCACTCGGGGCAGCTCAATGGCATTTGGTGAAGATTGTATGTTGCATGGGTATCCTCTGGACACGGGGGTTTCTTCTGACATTTGTAAATCATGCAGTTTAAGCAGATTTGAGGCCCTTTGAGGAAAACTAAACATGGTGTATTTTGAAATGATTAACTATATTTGGATGTTTTAGTAATTCTTATTTGGGGGTGTCAGCCAAACCCTTACTTCTCTTAGATTCATCATAGGTTGGTTTCTCTTTTGCTCGTATTCCATGAAGAGTATGAAGAGCAGTGTGGGAAAAGGGAATGAATGGAAGAATGGTGGAATGATTGAAATGTTGAATGAATGAATGATTGAATGATCATAGAAGTGCAAAACTACAATCAGAACTTACAGATATTCATGTTATTTTGTTTACCACCTGATAGTACAATGTACTGTAAAGGTCTTATCACCAGAACCAGATCATTTTCTTTTAACGGAAATTCTGTACATAGATCTTATGATTTAGATATTTTTC